CCATTGAGTCCTTATAGCCACTTGCTTGTGCGATGGGATAAAGTTTAAATTCATTTACACTACAGTAGTGTCATATACCATCAAGCTTTTAAAATTCAATATATGTAACTATTTCGTTTTTCTTTTTTTTGCTCTATTACTATAGTTACACTCAAATTCTCCATACAGAAGATGGGAAACAAAAGTGAACAGTGTTAGTTGATTATCAAAGTAACCATAGATATAAAAGAATGGTTACCATAGTTACAAGTATGAATTATAATATCATAGATAATCCATATAATTGTAATACCAAGTCTTTTTTTTTCTTAATGGGACAAAGTAAATGAAATTCAGGAATTTTGAATTGTAATGCAATATCCATAAAAAGTTTAAATAGTTTGATTATTGATATATACTAAACCGGTCAGTCATTCAGTCACCTACAACGTAGGACCAGACACATATATGCATCGGTCCAAGTTGCCATACCTCGTTAGTACAACAAGATCAACACCAAATTCATAGAAGTACTTAATTTATTGGTGGTAATATATAAAAGAAAGGTTGTATATAAGGATATAGTACAGGAAGGAAGAAAGTTGTGAATCAATTTAAATCTCATAGTTTAAGGGAAGATAAAGAGTGTATACATCTACGCCATTGTGACCGATTCTGAGCCATGTTAACTAGTGCCTAACCATTGGTTACGATAGTCACGCGGACACCAACCAAGTAGTCTGCATCTGCCAACATGGCTCAGACTAGAAGTTAGTGACTTCATGCTCTGATGTCACGTTTTGGTTTGGCCGCCCCTAACTCTCTTCCAACCATCCCCAATACTAACCAGCATAACGCGTCGTGGTAATCGGTGTTCAGGCATGCGTAACACGTGGCCTAACCATCTTAGTCGATGAAGATTCATCACCTCATCAACTGATTTAACCTCTGACCACTAGGCTGGGATCTAGCAGTGTTTATGTCTAACTTCGATCAATCCACGATATTTCGTGGTAGTGGATGCGAACTCCTGAGGAGTCCCATACTAAGACGAAAAGGCCATCCAAAGCTTCCAGGTTTTCATTGATGGTTAACCATTGATCGATTCACGATCTCAATTAAAACTCAACAATCTCCTCAACATTATACAGATAATGATTTAATGTTTGAACACTTTAAAATCGTATGATTTAACGCTCATTTTATCGTCTGTAAATTTTGCAATAAGTGATTCAAACTTAACTTTATCAATATAAGAGACAAGTTAATAAGACGGCAGAAAAAATGTCAAATACCAGAATTTTTCCATTATCGTTTTAATTTCTTACGAATCATAAAGTAAGTCTCAGAAAAGAATCCCGATAAACCAAAGTCAAAGGCAAGCGGAGTGAATGTGTTGAAACACACTGACATAGTGAATCCTTGAATAAAATCGGAATACGTGTCAGTGAAGCGTATCGTCATCTTTTAACTGTTGTAAGAACGTCACTAATAGTCCAACATTATTATATCAGATAATATTACATTGAAAACCTATGACTCTCATTTAGAGTACTTAAGAACCTAAACATGGATTGAACATAACGTCATTTCTAGATGAGTAACAATGACGCCACCAGACAAATAGACAACATATTATTATATGCTCCATTACAAATTAGTGCATCTGACTATGAGGCCCACTTTAAGTGTGGAGGGTAATGATACTCCTCGGCTGCCCAAATCAAAGTAAATAGAATGTAGCTAGAACCTGCAGTTTGGTGCATGAAAGTAGAACGCCTTAACTACTGAGTCACAAAATACTAAAGAAACAAACATGCTAATGGAAGTATAGAAGAATATCCAGCATATCGTACCACAATTAACTTCTGTTTATGGAAAGTGAATCAATAGTCAATAAATTCCAGCCAATTTGACTAATAGATTACGAATAACAAATGATTATGACAGGTTCATTCAATATTCTATGTACATTACTTAGCATTAGTGCAAAATGTTTTGATGATTTCGACTGGATTTATGTTTAACTGAAGAAAAAACAAATTATCCTCTACAACAGGTGCCAACACATACCGCCGAGGGTTTAGTATACTATCGAATAAACGATTATAGGTTGGAATACATTTTCACCGACTGAAGTACTAATTCTAATGCAATAGTATATTTTAAGTTCATAGAATATTTAGAATAAGAGAGAACAAACAAAGAGTTAAGATGACTATTTACCACTGATTAACTCTAGTGACGGATACACATTCGCGTACTTATTTACTTACTTGAACACATAAATATTGATACAAGGAAGCACCAGATAAATATGCGCCACACAAAAAATTTTCATTACATTTTAATTGCGTGACGGTTATGATACTGCCCACGTGCCCAAACTGAACCACGTGGTTTTCTTAAGGGGCCATAACCGGTGCCTTTGACGTAAAGGTTTGATCCACAAGGCAGTGGAGCATCGTGAGGATATGCAGTCCCATGGTAGACGGTGGCCAACAATTGGTTCATACGCCTTTTGTTCCCTCAGGATACTGGAGCCCATGTACACCATTGGTTTGGAATGAGGGTTTTCCAACTCCCCTAGGTGGACTCTCCGTGTCCATCACCAACCGGTTAAAGCGCCGGACATTCGCTTTTCGTCCTCTCAATTTTGTAAACAACACCTGTAGTGCGAGAAGGCAGTGAGTAGGACTTCTCTGGCAGAGGCTATATATGCGTGGACGTATGAGAGCATTTCGAGAGAGGGCTGGCTAACTCTCAGCCGTACCAAGGCATTTGGGGGCTCGCCTTCTTAGATTCCAGTCAAACTATGTGGGTGCTAATTATACTATAGAACTAGGTAGGGTTAGGACTGAACCTACAGATTAGTAGCTGCAAGTTGAACTCTTTAACATCAATCCTCCACTTCTTAAAGTTATAACTCGAAGACTAATATTAAAGAATAAAGTTTGAGACAAAATTATATAGTCTGGGTTGGATTGCCGTTGCAGAAAACTTAGGTTTACGATAGTGATCGGCAGACACATAAAAATGGTTTTATATAAAGTCAGGAAATATATGAAACAATTGCTTTCTAAAAAGAGACTGATGAAAAAAGGCGATGATTCTGGAGTAATTATACTATAGACTCGAGACAATCACAATACATATGACGACTTCCGTTTTGAGCGAAATTCGCAAAATTGATGACTCTCATCTTAGAGCAAATGTAAATTCTTGTAGAAATGCAGCTATACTCTGCTGAGAACGATTATAAGTCGTGAGGCAAATTCGGTTTGGCTATCACAGAATAAAAATGACTGTAGAACACATCAACATTTAAGTCAGTAATTTTCCGTTTCGGTTTTCTTTGTTTTCATGAAACACTTTATCAGTGGTTCACCCAAGAATAGTTGAGTTCATGAAGTAGGAATACCACAAATAAATATCGATTTTCAAGCATGGCTTCTCTATATCATTGTCTTATAACTGGATCTAACTAATACTTCAGCGAATTTGTAGGCGGTAAAACGATTTATAACTGTGAGAACGACCCAGGAATAAATCTTCAGTGTTAACGCATTCACATTCAGATAAGCAAGACTATTTACAGATACTGCTCAATTAATGAGAATGTATATACGATAATAAGGATTGAAAACTGGCAAACATCCTAAAACAACTATAATTTCATATGTTTTATCAATTCTGTAACAAAATACTTTTGTTCTATACAAGTTCTCTTCCTATTGACTGAGACGTTCGACACTTTAGTATAGTTATACAGCGTGGTATACTATATATAAAAGTTTTTCAAAATCGGGCAAACTTCACTACTCTTGAATCACTTTCCATCAATCAGGTAAAGCTCAATCAACTACAGTTTGAAATGATTATGTTGTTGGCTATCACAAGTCAAAGTTAACACCTCTCTTTCATAGTTGAAATCATGAGTCAATTAAATTTAGATCACCATTGAAAACCTGGAAGCACTGGATGGCCGTTTCGTCCTATTATGGGACTACTCAGCAGCGTGCATCCACGATCCCGCACTCGCGAGATTCGAACCAAGAACCGACCAGTCTCGCGCCAGAGTACTTAACCAATAGACCACTGAGCCGTCCAGTGTCTACAGGTTTTTCATGGTGGTCTAGCTTACGTTGACTCATGATTTCAACTATGAAAATACTAAAATCTCCACAAAACCCCTTCTGACCTTTGTTTCAGACATTATTCACTTACAGGAGGGTGGAATATTTCAGAATAATAGAAATAGTTTCAGACTATCAACACTGACTAAATATTTATTCTATGAAAAACAAAAACAACTTGCATCCATCTTTCTTGACTGAGAAATTACTTAAGTCAACAACCCAATTGTTTATTTATATGTATGATTCAATATTCTAGTAGCAAAACACCTAACACCACAACTTCATAAAGATTAGCTGTCATTAAAAAATATCAGTTCAGTTTAAAGAGCCCCCCATATGCCCTGGTACGGCCGAGAATGGGGAGGGTCATCCTCTCTCGAAACGCTCTCATACGCCCACGCGTATATAGCCTCTGTCAGGGAAGTCCTCTGCACTGACTTATCGCACCATGGGTGTTGTTTACGAAATTGAGAGGACAAAAAGAGAATGTCCGGCACTTTAACCGGTTCAGTGGACACGATGAGTTCACCTAGGGGAGTTGGGAAAACCCTGATTTCAAATCAATGGTGTACATGGGCTCCAGTATGCTGATGGAACAAATGACGTATGAACCAATTATTGGTCACCGTCTACCATGGAACTGCATCTCCTGACGTTGACCCACTGCCTTGTGGATCAAGCCTTTACGTCAAAGGCACCGGGTATGGCTCCTTAATAAAACCACGTGGTTCAGTTTGGGCACGTGGGAGTATCACAGCCCTCACACAAATCAAATGAGATTTGTGTGGCGCATATTTATCTGGTGTCCCTTTGTAACAATATTTATGTGTTTAAATAAATATAAATAAAGTCTAAAGATACCAATTATAATTAAATATTTACCTCTGTTCCTTCACCATTATTAGTACCAACTGTATGAATAGAATCAATTGATTGTGATAAAATCATCATTGAATCTTCATTAAGATTAGCATTTAAACAATTATTATCCAATATAACAGAAGTATCATCATCTGGTATAGAATTTTCTGTATGATATGAATTAGAATGATGTGTATTAGGTGGAATAGGACATTGTGGAGTTTTAGGAGGAAGCATTGTATTGGTATTTGTCATAATTTGATTTGATTCATTTAAGTATATGACACAAAAATTCCATTCCAATATGATAATCCTCCGCCAAAAAAGAAAAAAAGAAAAGTGGTATTCAACTTTTTACTCTTGAAAGTAAACGCCTACTGGGCTACGTCGTCACTGTAATAAACGTAGACAATTATGCATTAGTCTTAAACGGTTATAGAGTACAATTTTTTTTTTTGTAATTTTAACTTATTGTATTATTGGTGCAACGCCTTTTTTTATTTTTTTATTTTGCATAAGGGTGATACTAATTTAAGACAGGTGTGTGTTTTTATTTTACATGTCTATCTTCATTCTCTCCTATTGAATATTAAATAATTAATTAAATTTAATTAACCAATCAAAATAGCCCATCATTTAATGTACATTGTGTCCTATTTATTACATAATATGAGAAATATTCAAAAGGATCCAGTTGCTAAGTAGGTAACTCGATGAAGTTTGAAGTGAATTGTATTGGGTTCGAGTCCCAGAGTGAAAATCAACTCTAAGATGCAAGTACATTCAGATGATATACCCCAAATAGGACGAAATATGCATACTGGATTCCACTGCTAGATATTCCCTGAAGAAGTCCAGACAAGTTAGCTGGACGAAACGTTGGAATTATTTAAATTTCAATCGCTGACACTATTTCAAATATAATTTTTTAACATATAATGACTTCTTTATACTCGGCGCCCAAGTTTTGTCAAGCTATTCGTTCGAACCTTGACAAATATTCGTATAAACTATCCATATTTGCTTAGAATGCTTGTAAATTAAGGCAATCTGCACAGTATGCACATATGCCAATATGAGACTGATCAATTACAGTCCTAAACATCAATGAGATGATTCAAGTCAAACAATACCAAGTTAATTTAATATTCAGAATGGTTTATCTGTTTACAACGAGAATGTAAATTCAATCTTAGTGATGTAACAGGATTTTCTGATTGTTGTTTCCTTACTTACTTACTTACTTGCGCCTGTTACTCCCAATGGAGCATAGGCCGCCTACCAGCTTTCTCCAACCCACTCTGTCCTGGGCTTCCTTTTCTAGTTCTATCCAGTTCTTGTTCATTCTTCTCATGTCTGTCTCTATTTCTCGGTGTAATGTGTTCTTTGTTTGTTGTTCTTTGTTGTTTCCTTAACTTAGAAAAATAGTGTTCAATAAAATGTACAAATATTTCATCAACACTCTAATTCAAGTATTGTAACCATCTCATCAATTATGAAAGCTAACAAATTACTGTTTTTTAGGAATGTATCTGTAATTTTAATAGTTGAGATCATGAGTCAATTGAAGCTAGACCACCATGAAAAACCCGAAAGCCCTGGATGACCGTTTCGTCCTATTGTGGGACTGTTCAGTGTCAGTGTGCTTCCACGATCGTTAATTCAGCATTATTTTTCTAGAATAAATGGAATCCAGGACAGTCGTATCTTCCTTTTGGGACCCATCAGCTGGATGAACTCATATCAATTTTTAATGTTCACATTAGGAATCGATCACAGTGGCTTTTAACTGAAACTACAGTACGTTATCCACTAAGCTAGTGAGTCCAGATAACCATTACATCGTTCAATCGGTATGATGTTTATACCATTATTAGTATATCTTTGAATTGTACTGTTATTAATAATAAAGTTTGGGTCTTCATCAGTCTGCTAGCCTATGTACATTATATACAAACTACTCCAATATAGCCATTTTGTCACAAAAATTTTATAGAATAAGTGCATTTGATTTGTCATCAGTCTGAATATGTAACTGTCGAACCTAAGGAAGGCTTTCTGAAGACAATATTCTCCATCATTAAAGGACTATTTCGCTTGTTCTCATTTCAGTCATGAATGAGCGTTTCTGCTCCAATTGTACAACATTATCAGGTAAATGAAGAGAATTTTTTTAAGAAATATTATATATATAATGTAGTTCCAATCATAACTGGTTTCATTTTACAGTACAGAGTTGTCATCGGAGTATACACCAAAATAGCCATCAGTCCTGTCAACACAGAGTTATCTACAGTACGTAGTGTACGAATAATATAAGTTCCCAAAGAGGGCGTCACAGCTACGGTATCATCAGTGTTTTAGAATGATAGTTGTCACGAAAGTCTCAGACGTTAGGAATCAATATTACCTTAATACAATGAATGAGAGCTCATATTTGCAAACAAAATTATCGTGATAGATATGTCATTGTATATTCATTTGGCTGTGAAGAAAATGAGATTCCTCACGATTTTTTATATGATCATTCTACAAAGGCAATAACAATTTTCTGTATATTGTTTCAATTTTAGTAACTGTTTTGCCGAAAACAAGTATATCTACTCGTGTATTTGGCTGTAAATCCTAACAAAGTAAAAAGTGGTCTACCAGAGTACTCAGTACCTGTGTAGTTGAGCCACAGAATTGAGCTGTACTGTTCGGATTGTAGAGTTAAAGCCTAGATAGTGTCTTGTTCTCCTGGAAACCAATGAAACATTAACCTAGCTCAATAGGGTTTATTGTATAACTGTAAATGATTACGTATACATGATAATAATGCTAACTGATTTCATAAACTATTGTTCATTACATTATAAGTAACTCTCTATACTATTAATTTATAGTTTCAAGAGAATCAAATCAGTATAGAAATAAGGAAGAAATAGACATATATGATTATGACCATCCCGCACTGTATATTAGGCTATTTCATAAGCGATAACCATTCGGTTTCAAACCCGGTGTCCACAGATGATCTAGTTAATATAAAAACACACATTTGTTATAGCTATTTAAATAAAAAAATCTAAAAATACATGCAACCTTGTTAAGTTAAAAACAGACATAAAAATTTAATTCATTGTGATCTAATCTCCATGAGTTTTTTGGATGTTACGTAGTGTTCGTTTGTACTGGTCGTTTGACTCTTCATATTGGCGTTTATTATTCCAATGGGTCAGTCTCTTTTGGCATATGTGTATTCTATGCGGATTGCCTCAATACTGCCGGTAAATTGTTAGCATCTTAAGTAGAGATGGATGGTGGCTAACAGTGGAATCCAGGACGCTCGTTACGTCTTATTTAGGAATAGCCAATAGGGTGTACCTGGATCCCACAGCTGATGTTCACTCCCGGATTCCATCTATTTTAATTATTATCACTTTAGGTCACTGAATGAGATTCCACAACACAATGTCGCTGTAACAGAATGAATGCTTTGAAAATCCCTTTATACTTTAGTTATTATTTGTCTCTAATATTCCATTTAGTTATTGTATGATCTCAGACGGTTGACAATAAGGCATGGTTTTACGGAACTGTAGGTTAGAGGTTGAAGTGATTAGTTGTTGTTGCTCTTTGGCCGTCTGCCGAAAACATATTTGGCTTGACCTGATTACTGAAGACAGATTTTCGATTTCATTTTTGTTAATTCTCAGGTACTTAATAGTCGTATTTACTAAGATAATAAACGGAGTTAAATGTATGAAATAATTATTATTCTTATCACATAGTACGTTATTTTATGGGAGAAAAACTTTTGACCGTCTAATAACCAAGAGGCAATATCGAGGTAATTTTTATTTTAGGTGAAATCTGTTAGTTTTATTTACTACCGTAAACATTCACGCAAAGCATGGTTCCTTGATATAACAGTTGACTGTGAGTGAGTCAAGGAAACTATGTAACCTAAGAGGAAGAATAAAGTGGTTTCGCTCAGTGAAATTGATCATAATTTTCAAATCATGAGTCAATTGAAGCTAAACCACCATGGAAAACCTGGAAGCATTGGACGGCCATTTCGTCTTATTATGGGACTCCTCAGCAGTGCGCATCCACGATCCCGCTCTCGCGAGATTCGAACCCAGGACCCATCAGTCTCGAGCCAGAGCCATTAACCGATAGACCACTGACCTGGCATCCAAGTTAGACATTAACACCGTTGGATGCCGGTTCAGTGGTTTATCGGTTAAGGGCTCTGGCGCGAGACTGGTGGGTCCTGGGTTCGAATCTCGCGAGAGCGGGATCGTGGATGCGCACTGCTGAGGAGTCCCATAATAAGACGAAATGGCCATCCAATGCTTCCAGGTTTTTCATGGTGGTCTAGCTTCAATTAACTCATGATTTCAACTTTGAAAAATTCTGAAATCTCCACAAATTTCCTTCTGATCTTGATTTTGTTAAATCGACTACTAAGTTTATACTGAATATTTGAATTTTGGTCGTTACAGTCCTTGATACGAATATGCTTGTCTGAATGTCATCCAATTGTGATGACTTTAGTGCACAGAGTAGGCATCGAACATGGCCCATCATTGCAATCACCTTTACTACTGCCAATTTGACAACAACACATGAAACAACAAAGGCTACTCATAGGATCCAACATCGTTAAGTTACCCCTGATTAGATCTGCCTATTTGCATGTACTTGCAGTATCAAGTAAGTTGGAAGAGCAGAAAGGTTATTATCTAAGAAGATCTCACAACAAATGACAAAGAACGTGATCTTGAACAACTTAAACCTACACAACAATATCATGTGAAGATATATGATGGAGAAAGGTTATTTAGTAGATCCTCGTACTTCTTTTTGGGTGATTAGTGGACAGAGTAACGCCCGAATCCTATTTTAAGTAGAAGCAATTGCCATTTGTTGTCTCAACCTCACTTTATGTGTAAAAATTGGATGTTTCGAACGTCATTCACATATTTTTTATAACAACTAGTCATTTAATTTACTTTTGAAATGAGAAAACGGTTCAGCAACATGTATGAGGGAGGTTGTCACTTCCCAGTTACCCATATAGCAAATGGATATTTCTTTATTAGGTAACTTAAAAAGAAACTCGGTTTGTAGCTGTCTGAGTGATCTGAGTGAGTATTTGCAGCAGTCAGGAAACAGCTACTTGAGCCGGTAACCTTCTGAGAGTAGTTCTGGATCTGTTATTGTTGAGTTTGTCTCTTTCCACCGGAGAAGGATGACGTGTTCCGTTTGTAGGGCAAACCGTTTCTAACCCCCTCCTCTCTCTATAGGAAGGCTTCATCTTGGAAGTAAAAAATAATATTTAGATACTTCTGTCATGACCCTTTTTAACAGTTTTAAGAGTTTTAATTAATTTACTCAATAAATAATAATGTTACAAGGTCTTTAATTGAAAAATCACAAGTTCACCTGGTCAATTGTGTTAACATCTGTGAAACTGGGTGACAAGAAGCCGAATCCATCAGGGAGTATCACCTCCTTCAAAATTAC